AACTTACAGAGATCCGCCTGGCTCTGCCTCCCGAGAGCTGGGATTAAAGGCGTGCACCACCACCGCTGCTGCCACCCCCCACCTCCCCCCCCACCCCATCCTCACCCTCCCGGGCTCACCTGCACTTTTCTCCCTCATCTGGAATCACAGTCGCCCTGTAGATGGGGAAGCAGAAGCTTGGAGTGGACAGAGATCCTTGTCCCAGATCACCCCTGCCAAGGTCCCCGGGAAGAGGTGAGTTGTCCCCACGTGGCTGTCAAGTCCTGCAGTTCGGTTCTCACCTCCACTGTCCCTGTCCCCAGCACTTGAATCCCTCAGTTCCCCCGAGACCAGCCACCCAATCTGTCCTCAGTGGTGCTGAGCCCTGTTCCTTGGGATACTGTTTCCAAGGCCCGTGTTCCCATTCTGCAGTGTTCCCACAAGACGTGCCTGTCTCGGTAATTACAGAGTTGGGAATCCACTTAGAAATGGGGCATTTTGGGCATTTTTTGACGTGAATACTTAAGAAACAATCCGTCCCATACCCATTCATCCAAATGGCTCTGATTTGGAATAATTCTTTTGAAATGGAGTCTAAATTTATATAAATAGATGTTCCTGAAGTGTCATGTGATCCAAATGCATTCCTATGTCATGTGATCTGAATATATTTGCAAGGGGAAACAGCTCTTGAGGTGGGATGAGGGGGCAGGGCATGGGAAGCTGGGTAGGGATGGTGGGCAAAAAGGCCACTTGGCTCTCCAGAGGGCATTGGGCCAGCATCCAGAGTCCAGCACCCATGTTACCACCTGGCTCCAGCTTAGTCATTATCCCGTTTTGGGGTGTGTCCCATCCTGGACTGTGGAGACTTAGCCGCTGAGACTCTGGATGGAGCAGGTGTCCCTACAGGCAGAAGACCTTGGTTCCGCCCAACTCTTGGTTCAGGCCCACCTTCAAAATGCCTGCTCTGCCTGTGTGGGTTGTAACCTCCCTCCATCCCTGGGTTCCTGTGTCCTTAAGTCCTCTGCCTCTTGAGTTTCTTCTTGGCTGTTTTCTATCTCGTGTTGTGGTTATGCTTCCACTGTCCAGGGCTCAGCTGCCTGCTGTGTGGTAGAGCTGGCACCAGGCAGGTCGGAGGTGGTCATGGAGAGGAGCTTCACTTGTGAGGGCTAACTGCCTGTGCTGTCTGGCCACCTGCTGGCTCTTGCCAGCCTTGGCTGTTTGCTGTACACCCCAGGCCTGCACATTGCTAGACAGGGATTAAGAAGGTGGTCCTTGGTGCTACAGCCCTGCATCTGTCCTTCCTCACCTGACAGGAGTCTACTGAGGCCTTGGGGCCTGTCCCGACAATAGACAGGGCTGGTCCAACCTCTGGGTGAGGGCAATGATAGGCATGGAGTCTCTCCCCACCAAGGCCCTGATGCTTGTATCATCCTCTCTACAAGAGCTCCCTGGCTAAACTTCATCCTCTTCTTCCACAGTGCCGATGAGGGAGGAGGTGAGCTGGAGAGGGACAGCAGAAATCTGTTCAGAAGACATTCCAGATGGGAACTCCAATGGCTCCACAAACCCAGAGCAGGGCTGGAGGAAGGTAGGGCTTTGAAGACTGAGCAGGAACCTCCCAGAAAGGAGCAAGGCATAAGGAGGCAGGAGCTGGCCCCAACAGCCTCCCCAAAAGCCCTGACCATGCTCTGCAAGGCCCTGACCATGTTCCTCAAAGCTCCAACCATGCCCTGCAAAGCCCTGCCCATGCCCCCCGAAACCCCGACCGTGTCTCTGAAGGCTCTGACCGTGCCCCCAAGGTGCTGATTATGTCCCCTCCAAGGCTTTGACTATGCACCCCAAAGGTCCTGACAATCCCCCCAGTTCTGACAGGGGTTAAGGAGCAAATGGGGATGGGGACCACCTCCTTTTGGAGGTGATCAGAAGCAATCCTAATTAACTAAGTAGTGACTATGCCGTGACCCCTGACCCTGCAGTTGACACTAATTGTCCTCAATCAAGAGAGTAATTGAGGTTAATTGGATCCTTTCTGCCAGCGCCCTTCAGCCCCTTCAGCCCCTCCCACAGGCTGTCATCTAGGAGAAATTAACTACAAGCTCTAGGGGTCCATGGTTGGAGAGACTGAACACTCGGGGGGCTAGGAACCCCTTCCAGGGGTGGCGATGGCTGAAGGGAGTTCCTCATGTTCTCTGCTATTCTCTGCCTACTTCTGTCTCCCTAAGGATCCAAGATGCTCCCTCCTGTGCTTTCAAGTGTTGCCTCACTCAGAAACATGGCCGTCTCTGACTCAGTGTGGGATGCAATGAAAGTCCTTTTCCCATACCTGGCCTCCCCTGGCCCAGAGACCAGAGGTAACTCCATTCTCTGCTTCCCTTCTGCCTTGTCCCTTCCCAGCACTGGTTCTTCGCTGTCCCTGCTGGTCAGTGGGCAGTTTGCAGTGTTCTGGGTCACCTGATGCCACTGTGAGGCATGTTCTGGGCCTTGATACTGGTATACCAGGAATGGGTATGATGGGGCCCATGTAGTTAGTGAAGGTGGTGGTCAGCTGGGTGCAACATCACACCCATGGTTCCCAACAGTGTGGCTAAAGCTGGGTCCTGTGTGTCCGAACAGAACCTGTGTGTTGTCTCTGGGGACTTGTGCTGGGTGGGCAGCAGTGTGACCACTGGGCAGACTCTAGGATGTGGCATGGACAAGGTAACTTCTCCAGCAAGGGGGGGTCTCATGCAGTGGGCTTCCCTGGCTCTCGTCTGCCTGGCTCCAGGGCTTCTCCCCTCCCCTTAGAGACTTAACCTCATGAAAGCCACTCCTGGTCTTCAGTCCCTTGCACTGTCTCCCTAAGTGCTGCTAGATTTGGTGGAATTTTAGAGGACCTTGGGTTCCATCTCCTGAAGCAAGCTTTCTTCAACTCGGCCAAGGTTGGGAACGTGGTTTGTGCCTTTCCACCAGGGAGCTGGAAGTGTCAGCCCTTCACACAGCTGTGGACGGTCTCTGGTCTACAGGGTGTGGGTGGGTGGAGTGAGGAACAGCAGGTGGTGCCCCACCCGATCTGGTCTAGCCTTGGGGAGGCATTGGTGTGGGCATGGGTCAGCTGCTGGAGCTCAGAGCCTCCTGCTGGGCAACTCCCAACCCTGCTGTGCTGGCTGCAGGGGCCAGGGAGGCTGGTGCGGTGAGGCGGGGGCCGCAGAGCTCACATCAAAGGCCTGCCTCTGCTCTGCCATATGTTCCAGCCCATGCATCTGGTACCCCTGGGTCCTGCTGTCACCATGGAGCCCGCCTCTTCCCTTGAAGTTGGTGGAAACGGCTCCAGTGATTGTTTGTGGATGGGTTGGAGAGGAGGCTGTGGGGTGGGGTGGGCATGGTGGGGGATGCTACAGGAGGCTGGCTGGGTGCAGGTCTTCCACTCTGCAGTGCATTCTCAGCTCCAGCCTGGGACCCTTCAGCTGTCCCCATGGCTTAGGATCTCTTTCCTGCTCCCTAGGGGTCACCCTCACCTACCCTGTGAAGCCCAGTGAGATGTAAAGGTAGTGTAGGCACAGAAGAGTAGCCAGGGACAGGCCTGCCATGGGATGATAGATTGAAACCCTTGCAGCCTGCTTTTCCAAAAAGGTGGAGCATGCCAGAGTAGGCAGGATATGGTATACACACTGACCACAGACAACATGAGTCCAGGCCAAGGCAGCTACTGCCTGGGCTTTGGAGCTGGACACCGAGAAGTCAGGCTGCAGCTGGATGTATACTCTCTAGTCTCTGAGCACTGGTCCCTCACAGCCCGCAAGTGCACACACTCAAGGTCAAAGAGAGAGACCGTGATGACAGGCAGGGATTTCCTGTTTCCCTGATACGCTAAGGGGTAACCCTTAGCAGCTAGGAGATCCATGCGGTGCCCCCTGGATGCCATCTTAGCCTAGGGGACCTAGTGTTGGGGAGGGCCATGCACCCATCTGAGCATATCCAGCTTAAATGTGTCATCTTTCTGTAAGGGGCATGAAGCCAGGCTCTGGCCCTGTTGCCTGGTGTGACGGCTTTAGTTGTCAACGTGACCACAGCCCGGAACCACATGGCATGAGGGTTTCAATGAGAGATTGTCAAGATTGGATTGGCATGTGGGCGTGCCCGTGGGGGGATTGTCTTAAGTTAATTAATGTAGAGAGACTCAGCCCGCTGTGGGCTCATCATTCCCTAGACAGGGGCTCCTGACTTGTGCGAGTGGAAAATGGAGCTGAGTGCAGGAAAGCAAGCGAGCACATATACATTTATTTCTTTCTGCTCTTGACTGTGGATGTGACAAGCTGGTTCCGGTCCCGCCGCTGTTACCTCATTGTTGTGCTGGATTTGTAACCTGGAATTTTAAGCTATAGAAACCCTTTTCTCCCTTCAGTGGCCTTTTGGTTAAGGCGTTTTATCACAGCAAGAGAAATGAAATCAGGGTGCCAAGCTCCTGGTATCGCCTGGCTCTGTAATCCCCCAGGTGGTGATTTGGGCCACTTTGTCTCTAAGCCATCACTTCAGCTGCCAATGGGATGTGACAGGACCCTCCTCCGACATGTGCTTAGCCAGTGCCTGAGAAAAGGTGTGTAGTGCTTATGGTATCAAGGCCAGTGAGCCAGCACCATGGAGCCACTGGCCATGGGCACCATCCTGGGTCCTGATATAGAGCCTGTTCTTACAAAGAGGTTGAGATCCATGACGCCCTCTTCACCCAAGCTGGAAGCTCTTCTGGGGGCTGTCTGATATGCTTCCGGTCCTATCCCCACTTGAAAGTGGCCTATCTGGACCAAGCATGCCTTCACATCATCCAGGGACAGAATCTTAGACAGCTCTGCCACACGCTTGCCGTGACACCTGCACACAGACCCTGCCTCTCTCAGCTCCCGTATCTGGCCCTGGAGGGCAGGTTAGCAAGGCTGTAACTCAGACTATAAGCAGGACTGACTTGGGGGCTGGCAATTAGGTACAATGACCCCACCAAGGCAGTGATCAAGGACACCGAGCTGGTCATCAAGCTTCCTCCCGAGCTCATTGTGGACAGCATCCCCCACTCCAGGCCAGACCCATCTTCCCTAAGTGGACTTCCCAGCTCCCCTGTCTCCACAGCTGACTGGCTGCCCATCTCTCCCAGCCTGTCTTAGTAGTAACCACGTGGGGAGGTACCCCACTGTGGTCTTTCTGGGGAGCTGCATGCCCCGTTCTGGATATAGATGAAGCATGTGTTTCTCCGGCAGCTTCCAGTCCAGCTGTGGTCACTCCCCTAGGTCAGCCCATCTGCTCCCACCCTGATCAGTCCCCAGCACAGCCTAACTGTATTTTTTCTTCTTGAGGTCCTTGGCCTTGAGCCCAGAGCTATTAGGCTTATAATGACCACAGTGACACAAATGGGAATATAGGTGAAGGTGTTTGGTGTTTGCCAGACCTGACTGCAGACTCTGCCTGTCTTGGCTTGATTTAAGGATCAGCTGTTCCTGTGGAGTCCAAGGCACCCTCTTCTGCTTCAACAAAGACCCAAGTGCTAGCTAATAAGGGTTCCAACCAAAATCCCCAGCTTGAGGGAGGGAAGCTGGGTGTCCCACATGCCCAACTGACTCCAGCTCAGGCAGCTTCGTAGGTCTTCTGCTTCTTAACCTTTGGACTTGGCTCCAGATCCAGTCAAGAATAGTTCCTGAAAACACACACACACACACACACACACACACACACACACACACACACACACACACACACACATGACAGACCTGGGTATGATCCTTTGGGGATGCTCTGTCTAACCCTGGTCTCCAATCAGGTCATCACCACAAGCTGTAGCCCAAACTTTGTAGGAGTGGTGGGATGGGAGCCTGGTATGACCCAGGCTGTCACCTCAGGACCTCTGTTCACGTAGCCTTTTGTTGGCTATTGGTGGCTTGCAGTTCCCAGGGTGCAAGACCCAGAGACAGGATTCTGACTCTGAAGCCCTGGCCTGGCTCAGCCCACCCAGGACCCATGAGTGTGTGGTGGGAGGGAGGGGTGTGGGGCCAGCCACTCCATCTACAGGCCCCTGCCTCCCCATGGGAGTTGCAAGGCTGGGCTGCAATAAATAGAAAATTACAGTATCCGGGCAGTGATCAATGAAGTATTTTTCACAAGCACAAAAAATGTAAAGGGCTAAATTGAGGTGCATAGCAAATCATGTTTTTAATGTTTTCTGAAAGCCGTGAAGTATCGACCCCACAGCTATTGATTTCTGTTTGCGAAGCCTGCAGGAGGAATCTTGGTCTCCATATGCCTCACATGCTGTTGTGTGTACACATACCTGTGTGTACGTGTTTATGCACCTGTATGGGCTGCCAGAGGCTGGGAGAGCCATGCTCATGTATCTGCCTGATTTCCCAGGGTAAGGGTCCTGATGTCTACTTTCAGTCCTGGACCTGGGCTTGTCACTGCTTGGGCCGTGAGCTAGCCATTGCAGCCAGAATTCTGTTCATAGCATGCTCAGTAGGTGTTCCTCACCAGCCAGAAAAGGGGGTACTGTGCCCCACCTTTGGTGAGGAAGCCACTTTGAATGGAGCTGAAGGGCTTACTCAGCAGATGGTGGTAAACAGAGGGCAGGACAGCACCCAGGCTCATTTGTGTGAAGTGCAGGGCCTTCCTGTGGGACCCTCTGCCATGGGGCTGTCAGGGACACTGTGGCTTGATTGTAAGTGTCTGGTTTGGAGACCATGGCTTTCAGGTGCTAGAGTTTCAGCATGCAGCCTTCTTGGTTGAGCCATACTGCCGAGTGACTATCGGCCTGTTCTCCTTAACCAGGCAACCTCCACCTTTGAGGCCTGATTTCGGTGGGCAGGCACTGGTCCAGAGTGATACCTGGGTCCCGTGCCCACTTCTCAGCGCTCCTGGCCCAGGGTAGATGGAGTTTGTACAGTGGGCTACCCATGAGAGCAGAAACACGTGAGAGACTGGACAGTGCTGAACCTGGAGGGGCTGTAGCCTTGTGGCTTCCTCTAGCTGAGCCTCGAGTTCTTCATCAGTGGAGTGGGAACATGGACCCCCTTGCAGAGGTTCTGACCCTTGGGAGGTGGGCTCTCACACCAATCGCACCTGCCCACAGGAGGCTGCGTTCAGCATAGGCAGCTAGCTCTGCAATTCTGTCTGCTGTATCTGTAGCTGCCTTGCCTATTCACTGACACAGCCCACCTGCCTATTGCTGGCACAGAGAAGCCATGGAGTGAGAACATGGTGAACAGTGAGGATGTCCACAGGCCGTGTTCGGGAGAAGAGGTTATTGCGCATGTGGGCTGGGAGGAGCCAGCAACAGCCTGGGGAACCTATCAACTGAGAATACCCTTGCTGGGTGAGTGGGTACCCAGAAAGGGAT